CACCATCCCTACCAGGGTGCCACGATTTGCCAAAAATGGGAAAAAATTACACCTGTAAGAAATGCCTCTGCACAAGATCACACGTACAATCTACACTGCATAGCCTTTACACTGAAGAAAGAACCAAAAACTATTTGGTAGGCATCTAGCAACCTAAGGAAATTTCCTGATAGTTTTTCAGTTATTTTGATTGTTTAAAATAAAAAATCTTGACATACCATACGCAGTCACACTAATAAAATAAACTGCTACTTTAAACATCCTAAAAAGACGTATTTGCTTTATTATACTAAAAAAAGTCTAGCATCTGTCAAGACCCTTAATGCTAGATTTTATCAAGTATATATCTAACTTTAAAGATTCTTTTTCATTGCCCTTCAGGGACCACACAGCACTCAGAATTATATGGAACATTTAACTTCTCATACCTAATAAAAAACTCTATTGCAGCAGCTATGGCAACTATTTATAAGTAATATCATGAAAGCACATAAAAACTTTTCATCATCTTTGGTGTAAAAACCTTTTGCTTTCTGGAAAAAAAGTTAGTAATTCTGCCTACCTCCATATTCATTCTTCATTCTCTCTCACTTGTACTGTTTTTCTCAGCTGGAAATGATGAAAAAGCTAGTAACGTGCAATTAGCAGCTCACTAAAGAGCACAGTTGGAAAACATATGGTTTAGAAATCACTGACTACATTTTCCTTGGAATTCACCTATCAACATACTGCACAAAGAATGGCAAGGGCAGAATTTTGCTCAACTGAACTGAATTAAATTGAATTCAATTATGACAGATAGAGTTGGAATGAATAACATTCTAATGAGATTCTGTCCAACTAAAATATTTCCATAATGATTAGAGCATTCATATTAAACCACTGTATCTTGCATTGTATTAGTTTTCAGTCTTACTTTTTCAACCGGTTAACAGTTCAGTTTACTCTCAAATTTATTCAACATCCCTATTTTACCTCAAGGAAACCTTTGTCACTCTTGACTCAGGTTGTTTGCCTTTGTATTTACATGCATAAACCTTGTCATTTGCTTCAACTTAGAAATTACAAATAATTTATAAAGTCATTGAACCAACTCAGATCTAGTCATTGAGAGCTCCACATTTAAGACAAATTTGCATTGATGTTATTTACCTTTGTTGCTCTAAAACAAAAGGCAGTAGATGTTGTGTCCGACTTTTCTCTGTCTAACATTGCAAGTCCTTCATCTTCATTCAAAGCCAAGTACATTCCTGTTGTAATATGACGAAGACGGAAAGGCTGTCCCCATCTGATGTTACTTCCACTCCAACTAAATATATGAGACACCAAAAAATAATTTATGAAGTAAGCAAAACTAGTATTTCTCTTTTGGGATTTAAAGGATGTTCAGAAAATAGAATGAACTATATATATTGCTTTTTGCTTTTGGTTTCAATATTTGCATCAAAACAGATGCAAAACTGTTAATACATTTGCAAAGGGAGACTTGGAAAAGAGTATAGCTTTTCATTTTCTTGCTTCTATACTCTCTCTCTGTTTTATTAGGGTGTTACATATGGTGTCCATAAAAACATCTTACACGTTTCTAAAAAGTGTAAATTAATTACTGTATTTCAGCTAACTTCCTAAACAAACAAATTAAACCAAGTAAGGACTCGAGATTCCAAAGAGCTATCCTACATCTCCATTAGTTATGAGGGTATTTAATTCACAATCACAAACACACGAAGAGTAAAACAAACATACAGTACAGTAGGCTGTCAAAGTTAAAATATGTATATCCTTACGGTATGTATTGAAATTTCACTTGCAACAAGTGACAGATAACAAATCACCTAGGAGGGAGATAATGTCTAAAAAAGAGAGACGACACCCATGAGGGGTATTACTCTTCTGATTTCCACCCATGCTTCTAAAATTCCAAGTGAAAACTAGGAAAGCATTTTACTTTTGGACAGAAGCAATGTCTCAAGCAGACATATCTCATAGGCAACACTGCTTTTGATATGGGACACAGACACACATACACACATAAAAAGTCTTAAAATACTGACATTCCCCATATGATTATATCATGGTAGATTACTTTTTATTATTAACAAAGAACATACCAGCATATATCATATAGCAAGACAAATATATTACTCATGTTCTGCCTTAAGGGTCTGTGATAATTGAATGGCTGTTAACATAACAAAAGTTGCTAACAAAAAAGTTCAAAAAGTATCAGTACCTTATTCGAAGGGGTTCTACTCTCCACAAAGACCTTGCTCGAACGCCAGCTCCTCCAGTTTCATAAAGTACTTTCCTACAAAAAGATTCAGAAGATCATCCTCTTGTATTTATATGTGCTACAGACTATTTGTAACTTACTCCTCTTTAAACTGTGTAGGAATCCCTTCTCCCCAGCTAAACAGATGGAGTTGAATGGACGGAAGATTCCTGCT